AATTAATGCAATTATCCTGATCAAATTTCAATTATCAATAAAATTTCGTTGAACAGGAGGTCCCCCACGACATGGCAGATAAGACTCCACGTCGTGGCAGGAGAAGAAAAAAATGTGGATCGGATATTGGCCACGACATGGCAGAAGAGCCCACGACGTGGAGACGCAACAGAATGGCGATTCTACAATCCTTCAATTGTTCAAGTTCAACTAATGCACATTCAATTGTTAGACAACCTAATGTTTTGATACCACTGATGGTTTTTACATGTAATAATGCGGAAAATACCTTAAACTCTTAAGGGTACATGCAACCTAATTTGATCCATGACATAACTCTGTTGAAGCAACATACTATTGAACAACAAAACATTTAAACCCTAATTAAAATCGAAATTCACAAAAAGGAATAACATACCTCTGATTTGTTATTGTAAACAAACCCTTTGATCCAACTAAATCAATCCAATAGCCTCTTGAAAACTAGCTTCAATTATGTGCAAGCCTTCAATGGTTCACACCCACAACATAATAACCCTAGAAGATTTAGGAGAGAGGGGAGAGATGGTAAATTTTCGGATCTAGTATGATCTATAGCATGGCCGAAAATCCTCAGGTATAAGGCCCTATTTGTAGCTGATTAGGAAACACCTAGAAACCCTAATTTGAACATAAAATAATATTATTTCAAATAAGGTAATTATCTAGTTCCTTGATTATCTTCATGAAGACTTCCAAAATGCTCCAAGAGGAACCTCCAAATCGTCCAACACAGAAAGGTTCTAGAACCTGTCGTCTGCTCAACTTTTGAACAATTACAGTTATAGTCCTTCAACTTTTAATTAATTCTAATTAACCCAGAATTAATTCCAAATTAATTCTAATTAATTCTAAATTAATTATAACTATTTCTAATTAATATATCAGTCATATAATATATTAATAAAACATTTATCTCTCTCTTATAATCAATGTAGACGATTTATTAGTTATGAGGGCAACTCAAAAAATGACTTTACTTTTATTCATCAACATTATACCAATTTAGTTAGGACCTTAGACACCTTAATCCAACATCTGGTTGTCCCCGTCCATAGCAACCGCTACAAACATTGTTTTTAGGTAGTCCCCTCCAAGACGGACACTACATATGTAGATGACAGGCAAGAAGCAGCCTATGAATGCATGAACTTGCATTTTTTTGGGAACACAAACCAATTAGTTTAGATGTAGAAACATTATCAATTTTAAAGAAACAAAAAAGTGGAAAACAAACATACTACTCATCCAATAGCCACAAAACAAGCTTCGAAACGATCCATCAAATCAGTTTTGATGTGAGTGTAAGTATGCGGGTTGGTTCGCCTAAGGTTGTGAATGTAAACAGACAGGTTGTTAAGGCTTTCTTCGCGCTCACTCTCCGAGAAACTCATTTTGAAGCAGTTATAAGAAATAATTATGAATTACTTGGTTCGCCTAAGGTTGTGAATGTAAGGTTCTAAGCACATGCAAACACATATATATGTAGGAGACGAAAATTAAGGTTTTAATCCGAAATGCAAGGTCCGAAATGTGTCTACGGAATAAGATCTCTGGAACGGATACCGCCACTCCGAAATACTATGTTCCGGAGCATGTGGTCATTTTATAAAATAAAAAAAAATAAAAAAAAATTTTAGTTATTATTATATATATATATATTAAAGTTGTGAAGAAAAAGAACAGTAAACCTGAGACATTTTTGCCAGTTTTGGTCCCTTAAATTACATTTTCGGTCCCTCCATTTTTGTTTGTGTGTCACTTTGTATAAAATTGGGTTAAAGGGGTTAAAGCTTTTCACTTCTTCCCGATCCTTCCACTGTCTCATCTTCGAACTTCCCCCACCGATTCTCTCACCCGATATCTTCCCGATTGTTCTATCTATCCATCAACTTTTGAACCATCTCCCTTCTGCACAGCTTCACCTCTCTTCGCTTCTTCAAGAAAATCGGCCTACTCCTTGATTGTCGGCCCCCACACCGGCGATCTGTCACCGATAACCACCACTTTTTGGTTCCTCTTACCACTCCGGACCCTCATCTGTCCTCCGATTCAACCCCACCATATCCCTCTCGGTCTACCACATCCTTCCTTGTCGGCACCCATAGAGAATTTTGAACATTCAAAACCTTCACGACGAAGAAGACGAAGAACAATCGAAATCATCTGCTCTGTCGGAATTTCAAAAAACCCTACACCACCGGTGCTACGAGAGTACTCATCGGAACCCCATATAGGTAATATTTTACATATTATTTACGCTCAAATCTCGATTATTTCTCCAAATCCTAATGATCTACTATTTTTTTACTTTGATTTGTTGTTTCTTCTATTAATATGAAAGTTTCTTTGGTATGTAATTTCTTTCTTTCAGGTTAAAATAGGAATACAATTGTATTTGAAGGTATAATGCCCTGATATGAAGAAAAAAAATCACCGACTTTGTCATCTAATCGACTGTGAATGAGGTAGGTATCGGGTTCCTTTCGATTTCCCTCCACCTGCTGCAAAATGGTTTCTTGATTTTAGTTTAATCAATCTATTTTTTTTCGGGTTCATCTCGAGTGTACATAGAACTAGAGGATCCCCAACTTTGGGTTGTAATTGGTGTCGCAGGTGAAATCTAATGTAAAAATCTAAATTATGATTTTCAGCAGGAAAATAAGTTAGGTAAAGACACGAAACAATTGGAGAAGTTTCTAAGATTTTATCTTGCCAATACCACCAATACAAACAACAATCCAACTGGATAGAAAGAATATGCATAGGCACCAATTGACAATGATCAGGTATATATATATATATATATATATATATATATATATATATATATATATATATTCTTTGTTTTATTCTTTTTTGGTTTGGAATGTGATGGTTTTTATTAATGTTGAATATTATTTTTGTTTATAGTTAAAGGCACTTATTGCTGATGTAGAAAGGGCAAAGCTTTTAAGAAACTTGCGATTCAGGTTATGTCCATTAACTTAATTGTCTTCTGTCGAGTTTAGTAAATGATCTGAGTTTAGTTTACTGTTTGTGTGACTATGCTCTCTTTAATTCATGGTGGTTTTCAATTTCGACCATTAACTTTTTAATTTTTTTTATGTAATTGTGTTTATAACTCTATAGTTGTTGATTTCTTTAATCAAGTTGATCTCCTTTAAACTCTATTTAATATCCCTCTGCAGCAGATTCAAAGAGTAAATTCATTAAAAAAAATTGATTGTGTTTGAATTAGAGTCATATGCATGACTTTCTTGCGGAAGCAAAAGTTGTGGTTTAAGGATGAATATTGATTATTCGGATCATATTTCTAATGTACTTCATATATTGCATCTAATCTTCCCATTTCGATTCTAATTTCAAGCTTTATTGAAGTATTTTTAAACTTTTATGAAAATTCTCGACTGTTGAGTCTGTTTTATAGGTTTTGAAATGTTAAATCAGCATATGTCCAAATGTTTGTATTGCAGGTTGTGCTCTGGAAAAATACAACCGACTGCTCTCTGTATTTCAACACCGGTTCTATTCATTATTCCAAATTCTATTCACTAGATTAGAAGTACAATGTTGCCACCATCATTGGCTTATTTGCAAGTAATCATCATCCCACGGGTTAATATTTCAGCATAAATATGAACTGATGTTGGATTTTTTGATCTAATATTTGTTTTAAATGGCTCCATTTTCGGTTAGTGGCATTTTTTTTGGGTCTAATCACATCGGTTTTAAAAAACCAAACATTGACTGTAATTCTGTTCTTAACTTCTTTGTGTTCTGGGATTGATACATAAAGATATTCCACCCAAGATTAAATATAATACATATCAAATTAAAACTTTATCCATAAGGATTCCAGATCCCCAAATTTTTAGCATTTTATACCTTTTTAAGTCCTGACACCAGTTTTTGTGATGTGGGTTGCTGTAATTATGATATTTTCTTGTAATCAACTGGAGTATTTGATTGACACTGTTTCAGATATTGATCAAAACATAATAATGGCTAACTGATAATAAATTTTTTTTTTTTTTTTTTTGCACATCACAAACACATTCTGTCCTTGCGAAGCAAGCAAGGGATACCTTTCTAGTTTTTATTAAAATTATATCAATTTCCTTTATTTTTATACTCAACATCGAAACAACATTTAAATTTTAAATTTGAAAAATTGAGACCTTTTTACCCTTTTCTCCATAATTAATTACGGCGTCCACGTAATCATTTCAATAACCATGGGGTTCAAATAATACCTTCTCGACCATCTTCGTCATTTTCTAGGGCTTTTTGTCTTTCGTCAACCAAAGGTGATTCCATCGCCCCTTTTTATTTTACGTCGTTGATTGCCATGAAATTGATCTTAACAGTCTTGTAATCAAGGTTTGGTTCATGACAAAACGGTGATTATTTCATCTGTATTCTTTCTATGAATGTTTGATTGATAACAATTTTAGGTATTTCCTTTGTTTTGGTTCCAAAAGTATAGTTTTCTAACTGTTAAGATACTTTGAATTGAATCGACCGCAATCCATTGGAATTATCTGGTATGTATATGCGGATCATGATTTTATACTGATCTCTACATTCGTTGATATATGAAGTCGTATTATATTGGTGGATTATACTCTTTTGTTGACCTTGTATACTAGTGTTCAAAAATGGTGTCTTGCGCAGTTTGATCTGATTATCATTCTCATTTTCTTTAGATAAAGTAGAATTCAAGCGTTGTATCTTTAATCTCATCAAACATTACAACATATTATTTTGTTACAAGATATAAGACTCAATTGGTGAATAATTCTAGTTAATCATGTGATTTAGATTTCTTAATATCTGATGAATGTCTTGTCATGAACAGAATCAAATAGGAGAAAGTAAACAGAGCTTTTAAATCTTTTGCAGGTCAAACATACAAGTCAACCACTACCCACTTCACGAATTACCAAATGCTCTAAGCAATGAGTAATAATATGTCATCTGATGAAATACTAAAGGCTGTTTTTCCCCTACTAAATGGCCCTGATTTAGCCTCTTGCATGTCTGTATGCAAACACTGGCAACAAATAGCTCAAGATGATTACTTCTGGAAATGTCTATGTGCAAAAAAATGGCCTTCAACATGCAAAAATCCATCACCTCCTGTAACATACCACAAACTATTCAAAACATTCTACAAACGCGAACACAGAAGGACACTTTTACCCCCAAGAATCTCCCTAAATGACCTTGAATTCTACATTGACATATGGGCAGATGATGAAATACTCTTTTCACAAGTTATTCAAGGACCCGCCCTTCGAAAGGGCATGTGGACCCCGCCACCTGGCATCTGTGACACCCTAAAGTACCATTTAGAAGGTCCAGAATATAAAATGACATTACCTGTTGACCCAAAGTTTGCTGTTCCTTATACTCAAACTGTTAGTGTTTCTGTTCTTGTATCAAGAAAAGACACCAATAAAGTTGCTTGTATAATCAATAAGTCAATGTTTGACTATATTGACCGATCTGCTTATAGAGCACTTGCGTTTGATTACTTGGTGTTTTCCCCGATTTACCCTTTTGTGTCTGGGATTAGGGCTTGGATTTCTTTGTTGTTCATGGAACATGGGGAGGAAGGGATCATTGATGTGTTTGGGGTTGAAATGGACTTTTGTGATGCTGCTAATTCGGAGGATGAGGTGCTTTGGTTGTTGGATATGCTTGATTGGAAGTAATTGGTTACATGTTGTTGATTGAATAAGGGTAAATTGGTCTTTTTGATTGTTGATGATTGTTGTAGATATTAGTTTGTGTTTATGGTGGAAAGATATGAACAATTTCTTGTACTTGATGCAACTATGTCAAATGTTTGTTTCTGTGGTTGAAGTTTGTTTACATTTGTTAAATGTGTTGTGCAATGAAGTGTGCAAATTGGATGTAGAAGGAATGTACTTTTAGTCGATTTTTATTTTATTTTAGGGAATGTGCTTTTTTAGGATCATAGTTTAAGGGCCAATGGTATAAGTTTATAATCAAATAAGACAAGATACACAATTCATAATATCCATTATAACTTAGTGTTGCTTGTAATTCAATAAATATGGATTCATGGTGCTATGTGACGATCAACGTTTTTTAAATGCTTCCATTGCTTTCTTTGGATCATTATATTCTAACAAAATGTAATTAGTTGTGTCAAGTTTTTTTCAAAAAGTAAAGAAAAATTAAGATTTTATTTTTCTGAATAACCACTAATTCTACAAGTACAATCTGTGAAATTACCGTTTGACCTACAATATGTGTAAAGAAAAGTCATTTCGGGCAAGATTGTTAAAATCGTAGGATTGAATGATCCTATGATCCCACCTAGGTAAATCGATCATGGTCTTACTAGGATCGTTTTTCGGTAAGATCGCAATAGTATTGTTGGATCGGATTGTTGGATATGTAAATACCCATTTTTAATTGTTTATCATTAAAAGATGTATTAGATATTTGGATATGTATTTTTATGTTTTAAAATATTTATTGATAGCTGAATCGATAACAAATTGATGAAAATGTATTTTTTATGTTTTAAAATGCTTTTGGTAGGATCTTACGATCATGATTTTGCTAAGCAAAAAACGATCTTATATAAACAATCTTGACAAACTTGATTTCGGAAAAAATATTTTTTTATTTAAAGAAATACAAAAGTATATTATTTAAGAGGTAGACCTGCAGAATTATTGTTTGACTTGGAAAAATACCCAAACAATATCGTTACCGGAAAATAATTTTAAAAAATGAGATTTGACCTGCAAATATATTCATCACTACAAAAATATATGTGTTTATATTTTTACGCTAATCATGATTTTTTTTCATCTAAGAACATATTTCTGAAGTTTATTTTTGGTAGAAATTTGAAGATGTCATTTCATAATAAAAAAGAGTTTTATATTGTTTTTAACAATCTGAAATATTTTGGTTGAAAGATATTTTACAAAAATATTGTATGAAAATTAACAAAATATGTTTTATATATGGTGGCCTATTTTGTAGGTGGGCCATATGAAATTGATCTGGTTGTTGGATGACAAATTTTAAATATTTGTCAATTTTTTTTTAAGGAAAATGACCATTTCAACAAAATTAGATTAAACCAGAAAGTTACTCTTTTCATTTTGTGGTGGGTCTGGTTTATATGAAGGACGATGGTAGACAAAAAAAAAACATACAAAGAAGGACCAAAGGTGTAGATATTCTAAACTCGAATAAACACGAAAACATAAACAAAGTTTACATTGAAATGTAGACAAATTGAATTTATACCACATGTACATTAAAAAAAACAAGTGTTTTTTTTAAACCAACAACGAAATTTCTAAATTTGCGTTGAAACGTTGGCCACCTTAAATTTATATCGACACATATACAAAAATAAGTATGTAAAAAATAGTTTTTATTTAAGTTAACGAACGAAAGTTATTAAAGAAAATCAACTTATGTATACTACGGTGGGTAAACACGAAAACTTAGAAAATAAAAAGGATCAAAGTGATATTTTACAAAGTTCAAAGTGGAGGGGGTCAAAATAAAATTTTAAAAACTAGAGGGGTAGAAAATGTTTTTTTCAAAGTATTATAAAAATAGAAGGGTGAAAAATATTAATATAGAAATTTAGTAGGACTTAAGTCGGGAACAAAAGTCATAGACCAAATAGAAATTTAAAATGACTTAAGTTGTTAAACAATAAAACTACCAATAAAGGGATCAAATATGCCAATATCCTAAACTAACGTGGAAATTAAAAGTACACACAAAATACTATTAATTTCTCATTTTCAATTAAATATATATAATACTTTTCATTTTTCCAAATAAAAAATGAATAAGGGTATGAATAAATTTTATAAACTAACTTGATAACTTATGTTAACAACTAGTGGGATGCCTTAGCTTTTAGTATGGGTGTTCATTTATATTTATCTGAATCCAAATTGAATTTGGTTGTTAAAACATATGTCCAAATAGTTTAAACTAAATTAAAATTCGATCTCATCCAACTAAATTACAATTCGGTTGAATCGGTTTTTACAATTCAATTTTTAAGAGGCAAGACATTTTAAAAAGTATATAACTTGAATATTAGCCAATTCTATAAAAAAAACTAAAAATTGTTTAGTTATAAAATATAAGTGATAAACAACTTCTAAGAAAAATAGATTATAACTTAATATTTCTTTGACAAAAAACTTTTGATAATAAATACATATTAATGTATTATATTGGATGAAACTTTCGAATATTACAAAAATGATTTAGTAAATTTATAAATGATTATATATATATATATATATATATATATATATATATATATATATATATATATATATATATATATGGCTAGGTTATAATGCAGATGGCTAGGGCTGTAAATGAACTGAATGTTCAACGAACTGTTCGTGAATCGTTCGGCGGGAAGTTTGTTTATGTTCGTTTATTTAATAAACGAACGAACATGAACACAAATTCTTGTTCATTTAGTTAAACAAACGAACATGAACAATGACCTCGTTCGTTAAATTATGTTCGTGAACGTTCGTTTATGTTCTTCATTTACGTTTGTTCAAGTTCGTTCATATAAGTTCCTTTTATCTTCATATATGTTTAATTGTGTTTGATTACATTACTATATTATATGTTCATTTATGTTCATATATGTTTGTTTATCTTTGTTTGTTTATGTTTGTTTGTTTATGTTCGTTTAGGATGTTCACGAACATAAACGAACGAACATGAACAATGTAATTTGTTAAACGAACGAACATGAACAAAAAAACTCGTTCGTGTTCGTTCATTTGTTCGGTTCGTGTTCGTTTACAGCCCTATAGATGACATCTATTGTGTGGTCGTAAGGACAATTCTGGACCAATGGATGAATAGAATGAATGCTTATGACTCAAAGGTCTATGATATTACAATAGAATAACATATACCATATAATATCACAAAATTTATCATAATGATATTTTAGTCAATTACATTGTATTTAAAAAAAGAAATTTTTGGATTTTAAGGAATAATAGAATCTTTTAGTTTTTAAATTCTAAATTTTTTAATTAATTGAATTTCAATTCTAACATATTTTTAATTATAACCGATTTTATTTTGTCAGAATGACATTATTGTAGAATGATATTCTATGAGAATGCCGGTCATCAACTAATGAAGTCACAAAAAACATTCTTTAACCTAATAACATGTCAATAATTATATTTTTTTGAACCAGTCTACATCAATAGTTTGAAAAATCTTGGAAAGAGTATCAATTTCTATTTTGCATTCTTGAAGAATGAGATACAAAAAAACATTCTTGAAGTAAATTACATGAAAAAAATAAGAATATATTCATGATGATTCTAAAAGAATAAATTTGGTATATTCTAAAAGAATATGCTCATGATACATTCTAAAAGAATAAGACGATGAATATTTTTTTTTTTTTGGAATATCAATGATCATTATTCATCTTCATACCACACACCATCATCCAACCTTTAGGCCTTTAATCATCATGTTCTCCTTCATGCACAATCTCTCTCTATTACCTTCGGGTCCTTTATGATAAATTCATTGAGAACAACTTCCATGCAATCGAATTCTATCAGAATGATTGAAATGAGAATAACAAACTAAAATCCCATGTTCACAACCAACAAAAAGAATAAAAATCATTTATGAGAAACATCTATGATTAAAAAAAAGAATAATGATGTATTCTATGAAAAACATCTATGATAAAAAAAATTAAAATTTATCAAATACATTCTTAAACCAAGTTGGGATAACATTGGAATGATTGAAAGATAATGGAAAATGATTTGAAAATGACAATGTTAGGAAAGAAATGAGAAGAACAAAAACATTTAAAAAAAAAAAAAAAAAAAAAAAAAAAACTTCAAGAGGAAAGTATGTGTAACAGCCTAAAAATAATGACATAAAATTTTCGTTTTTAAATTAATAAATCGTTAATACATACATAACATTTCCACAACCAAGTTAATCGAGATTTATCAAAACATCATTAAATCAGAGTAATTCACGAAATGCGGAAACATGTGGTGTGTGCCCTGCAATCATCTCGAGCTCTTCCTTTTGAAAACCGAAGTATCTGAAACATAAACTGAAAATCGTAAGCACAAAGCTTAGTGAGTTCCCCAACATACCACATACCAAACATACAATAACATATAGTGGGCCTCGCCCGTCATCGGGCCCCGCTCGGTATACAAATATGTAAGTCATCAGGCCCCGCTCGGTATACTGATGTGTGTTAAACGCACTAGTTTTAGTCCTACTTTTTAAATATAATTTAGACACACAAAAGGCAACGTACCTGTCAATTGGTGGTATAGTTAAGCAAGCAGGGTATCGAACACAGTGAACGATAATTAAACTAACTACTAGAATTATCTAAAAAACAAATAATAAAAGAAAAGAGGTTTTCTCTAGTTTTTCAAGACTAGAAACTTAAGCACTTAACTAACACTCAAACAAAACAATTAACAACTAAAGCAAATAAAAATCAACTAAATTCAATAATAAAGGAGACTTTTGTTCAGGTTCGACTCACTTATTCCTATGGTTGAATTTATGGGAAGTGCAATGGATTAATATGTCATTGGCTATCGATTAATATGATTAGGTCCATGTTCACTATTACTAATCCTTAGAAAACAGATCAATT